GGTATGGAAGAATGGAAGGTTTCTCTCCGCGGCTCGAGAAAGAAATCTGTTTAGAGCTGCCAAGGAGCCCGTGAGTTTTTGAACTTCTTTGACGGTTTTTGGCGCTTCCATGGCCAAAATAGCCTCGCTTTTTGCCGGATCGACACTTATCCATCCTTGGAAACTTGGTATCCTAGGAATTTTCCTGACCCAACACAGAATGTACATTTCTTAGGGTTCAACTTCATGTTAATTTTGCGTAAGATTGTGAAAATCTCTCGTATGTTTGCAGCTACTTGCTCGTCTTTGTTTGTCTTTATCACCATGTCGTCCACGTAGATCTCGATGTTCCGGTCGATTTGGTCATGAAAGGTTCTGTTCACGAGACGCTGGTACGTTGCCCCTGCATTTTTCAGTCCAAAGGGCATCTTGTCATAGCAATAAACCCCAATCTCGGTTATATAAGTTGTCTTCTCTCTATCTTCTCGTGCCATGAGGATCTGATGATATCCCTTGTACGCGTCGAGAAAACTGAGGATTCTGTACCCGGCGTTGCCCTCTACCATATGATCTATGACTAGTAGGGGGTAACAGTCTTTGGGGCAATGCTTGTTGAGGTCAGTGTAATCTTGGCACATGCGCAAAAAATTATCGGGTTTTCACGCCAAGACCGGGTTGGCTAACCAAGTGGGCCATAGAACTTCTCGGAGCATGTTGGCACAGACTAGCTTCATTGTTTCTTCATTGATGAAGTCATTGCGTTCACGAGCAAATACTCTTTTCTTCTGCTGCACCGGTTTGACGCTTGGGTCGACATTTAGCTTATGTTCCATAACTTCTCGAGGAACTCCTATCATGTCTACCGGAGACCAAGCGAATATATCGTGGAATTCGCGTAGCAAGGTACTAACCTCGGCTAGCAATGGATCTCGGAGAGAAACGCCAATTTGAATGGTCTTGGCGAGGTCAGTCTCGCTCAGGATCAGCTCTCGTGTCTTACTGCTGAGCGGTGGGAGAATTGAGGTCTCGGGATCCTCCGCCTCTGGTGGTTTGGATGTTTGTCGGATTGACTAACACTCCGACACAGCGGCACTCAGATTAAGGTGTGCGGTCTTTTTTCCAATTCTGACTGCTGTGAGCAAGCACTCTCGAGAGCTACGCTGGCATTCTTGTACCACTCCAACTCCATACTCTATCAGGAAATTCATTACTAAGTGATAGGGAGACCAGACTGCACGTGCTTGGCACATCCAGGGTCGCCCCAGACTCACGTTGAACGGCGAGGGTGCATCTATCAGAGCGAAGTCCATGGTTAAGGTGACCGTCCTAGGATGTGACCCTACTGAGATGGGGAGGCTAATTATTCCTGTTGGAATAATGGTGTGGCCCGAGAATCCCATCAAGGGCATTGTGGCTGGGCGGATGCAAGGGTTCTTGATATTCATCTTCTTGAAGCAATCGCTGTATATGATGTCGACCGCACTCCCATTATCCACGTAAACCCTTCCGACTTTTACATTTGCAATTATTGCCTCAATAACCATGGCGTCGCTATACGGACAGATGTCCGGGATGACGTCGCTGTCTGTGAATACGATGGCCTCCGTCCCCTTGAACCTCTTGTGGCTAGGCTCTTGTCGAGGAGTCTTGCTGATGGTCCGCAATGAGTTCTTCATGGCTGTGGTGGGTAAGACTTCAAGGAGAACTCCGTAAATAGCCCTTACCTGGTGAGTGATCAGCATCGTTGGATCCGCTGGGGGAGTTGCTGGAGTGGCTGCGGTGCAACTTCAGTGATTTGGTTAGGTTATTGTTGGGTGTTGGCTCTCGGTTATCAACTGTTCCCCCGGCTGTCTCCCCGTGGGGGGCCTTTGAACTTTCTTTTAGGGTAATTTCGTGATTGGGGTCTGTTATTCTTCTACCGAGAGGCTCCTTGTACGTACTGCTGAAACTTGCTAGAGTTGACCCTGTTCTCGATTTCCCTCTTAAGTTCTCGACAATCATCCGTGTCATGGCCGTGATCTTTGTGATTTTCACAATATTGTTATTTTGATCTGTTTGGATTAGGTGCCAAAGGTTTCGGGACTGGTAACTCGTTCTTATGGTTCTGGAGGATTTCTTGTCGCGGCTTGGTTAGGGATGTTAATTGCCTATCCATCTTGGGCCCCGCCGGTTTGTTCTCCATGGGGATTTTTGGTTGTCCCTTAGTCCTACCGACGCAAAACATTCCTGGGATCTCTTGAGTGTGTGTTCTCGTTGTATGTGGCTCTTGACAATGACCCACATCTCCTGAGGATTCTTGGGGGGGCTTAGTCGAGAGCTTGACTTGCAACATTGAGGATTTTTCAAAGGGGTTAAGGCCTTGGATGAATCCATTGCGAACATTCCGATCATCGATGTTGTCGACCTACAAGGTTTCTTGTATGAACTGTCTATGGAAGTCGGTCAGACTCTCATGCTGCCCTTGTCTGGTCGAGGAGAGGTCAATGGACATCCGCAACATTCGTTTACTCTGGAAGAATCGGGTAGCTAGTTTGACGGACAGATCCTCAAAGCTAGTTAAAGTCCCTTCTGGTAATTGCCCAAACCATCACTGTGCAGACCCAACCAAGTGGGAAGGTAGCGCTTTGGCCATGAAATTCATGGTTGCGTTTCAAATTCTCATGACCTGGACATATCCTTGCAGCTATTGGGAGACATCAGTGTCTCCTGAATATGGTTTAAATTCCTTAGGGAAGTCAAAGTCTCGGGGCTTAGGTTCATCTCGGATGTCCGAGATGAAGAGACTTCGGTCTAACCCTATCCCGATGATCTTTCTCATCTCTTCTCGGATCCAGATATTCTGATCTCTTGCTCCTTGTTAATCTCCTTGGAAATATAGCAGATTTTCTCTATGCCTGTTATATTGCTGATATCTGGGAGGCGAGTATCGAGGACGGTGATGGTATCCTCGGTTATAATTGCCCTCGATGTTGTTGTAGCCTTGGTGTGGTTCGTGGCCAGGTTTATATTCATCTATTTGAGGGCTTCTTCGATTCCAATTGGATTCTAGGCGGTTATGTCCATTAGTTCGCCTTGGGGGGTTTCCCTCTTTTCCTTCGATGATCTCAACACTCGGGGAATCGTGATACTCCCGAGTATTTTTATGTCGGTATGTCGCGTCAAATTCTTCGAGAGCCATCTCGAATGCTGGGTATTTTTCTTTGAAAGCATTCCAAAATATGGTATCCCAGGTGGCGTTTGAGCGTTCTTCATGGGGGTTTTCATACCCCTCGGCTTCTTGATAATTCTCGTCCTTTTGGACTTTCTGTTTCCCCCACTTCTTCTCAAGAAGGGCTAGAGTTCTGCGAGCTTCTTTTTCATTGATCAAATCATTCAACTCTTGTTCTGTGGGATCAGGTTTTCCAAGGAGACAGTGCCGCCTGGTTTCTTCGAGAATATATCTTCGCATCCTCTGTTGCTGATGGTTATCATCTCCTAGCTTCTTGAGTTCAGCCTCGATCTTGGCTAGCCTCTGATCCTCCAAACGCTTTTTGGCAGCAGTGGTATTTCGAGGAGAAGGTACATCCTCCTTCTCGGTTTCTTCGGATCAGGCTTGGAAGAGCCAAGGGCCAAGCGTTCTTTTGTTGGTTCTCTTTCAGGTTCTCTGCCATGGCTCTTTCCTGCCTTCTTTTTTTCTTGTCTGCGTTGGAATTCAGCCAGGGGGTATTGTCCCCTAGACTCTGCCGTCGGCTAGAAGATGTTGTGCTACTGGTGTCTTCTTCAACTCTAACCATTGTGCTGGTTGTTCCTGCAATCCTAGTTTTTATCGGGAGATGTTAAGGAAACATGAGAAGGTTTTTGTGACACAAATCCTAGTTTTTGGGTCCCACTGGGCGTGCCACTTGACAAAACTTGGTTTCACGCCGCCGATCTGGTAGTGGAACTCCGGCTAGGGTTTCCTACAAAATACAGCCTCGGGGGTCTCCCGAGGATAGACACTCTGATGCTTAAGTCAATAAAAGGTTGCTGGAATGTTTGGATATATAGTATGTTAAACTATAGATTGCGTACCTGTATTGTGGTGTGAGCAACCTATTTATAGGTATAAGTATACCTGAAAAATCCCTGAATCCCATTAGATTTCGGGAACCTAAACCGCCTCAAGAGTCCCTGTTGGACTCTCCTTTCGGTTGATGGGCTGGTCAAGTCTCGGTGATGGATATGGACTCATCAAGAGAAAACTTACAATGTATTGTCTCCAAATCGACTAGACCAGTTTAAATGCCGAATACATTTTATGTGATTCAAAAATACAGGAGTTCTCTTGGCCACTTCTTTCTTAGATGGGGGTTGGTATTTGCCATTTAGTTTGTACCATTCCATAGAGCAAACCCGACATTTGGTGGAGTTTCCCTGGAATAACCACAAATTTCAACAACATTATAGGAATAACGAATTCAACAACACACCAAATTCCCATGGATCGACTAACATCAGCAAAGCAAAACCAAAATTAATTATGATAAATTAAACTAAGCTCCTTCCCCCCTTTTTGAAACAGACGAATCTAAAGTAACCAAAGAACCAAATTACTTAAATGTCTGGAAAATTATCATCTTCAATTCAATTTTGTACTTTGACTGAGCTTCAATGATGAGATAAATATACTACTACCTTTGTCCCAAAACCTAGATGTGGACTATTTTTTGAGAACAGAGGGAGTAATTGAGACATAAACATATACAAATGATATTATGACTAAAATCATCTAGATTCAAGATTATGACTCTAGAAACAGTTGGAACATCGGTTGAGTTAAATTGAGATCAAACACATCATATATGTAGGTAAACATGTGGATAACAACAAGAAACATTCAACAACAAATGACTACAAAATCAGAATCATGATTGATTCTGAAAGAATACTGTTTCCATCCACCAGAAATAGGTTCCCAAAAGTCAATCAGACTAGATTAGAAAGTAATGATTTTCAGCTCTGAATTGCCACACTCTTCCTGCTCTTCCTTAATCTTTCTAACTTCAGCATAGTGTTAGGATAGTAAAGACTTGGATCACTTCAAGAGTCGCAACAGTGTCTAGACAAGAAGGCATCTCTTTCAAATTAGAACAAGAAGAAAAGACCAACTTCTCAAGACACACGAATTGATCCTCAGTAGCCTCCAAGAGAGAAGCCTCGAGGCTGACAACTTCCAAGTGTTTAAGTTTGGAGAATTCTCCTTCTTCCATCTCCCATGAATCGCCTTCAAAACTTACGCCATCAAATTTGAGCACTTCAAGGTTTTGCAGTTCGGATATGGTTGAAAGACTTCGACTTGACAAATGAAATCCTGAAATCATCAATTTCATCAAACTTGTAGGCAAACTAAACTCAAACCTGACAACGTCTTCTTCAGGTCATGTTGAAGCAAATGACATACCAAGTGATTCTAGTTGGCTTAGAAATTTAGGAACTAAAACCTTGACATGATTTTCTACTGTGTCATGACAATCAACGAGGGCGCATTTCAACTTACGAATATTAGGAAATCTTTTCACTAACTCTTCCATGCTACCTTGGTAAGGAATAATTACACCAGAAATCCAATCCAACTCACATATATCAGATGAGCTGGTAAGATTTTCCATGGGCAAAATACCACCTGGACTCTTCATGGAAAGATGCTTTAATTTCCGTAGATTCCAGAAACTATTTGGCAGTGAAAGAACAATGTCTCCACTCATTTGAATTAAAATAAAAGTCTGCAGATTGGAGAGGTTACCTATCGATGATGGGATGTCCCTCATATAACCTCGAATTGCCAAAAATGCCAATTGCATAAGCGATCCTATTTCACTTGGAATCGCATGACCGATATTGATTTTCCCCAAGTCCAACACCCTTAAAAGTCTACAGACTTGAATCATAAGGGTTAAATATTGCGGCACTCGGCACTCATAATAGCTAAAGCGCAGAGAACGCAAATGTGGAAAAGGTTTGCTGGACCTTATCAGATGTTTTGTGTTAGAGCAAATGCATAACCTCCATAGGCCTTGTGTCACGTGAAATTCCAGGGGCATAACATCCCTTCCCATGATAGAGGCAAATCCTTCATCTTGAGCTTTCTTCAAACAAAATTCATGAAGCAAATCATGAATGCGACATGTTTTCACTCCACCAATGGATTTTGTTGTAGCAACCGTAAGTAGGCTTCTATCAATCAATTCATTCAGGTAGTCTTCAACAACACTTTCGATCCGCTTCATCTTATCTTTTCGAACAAATCCTTTAGCTATCCATAGACAAATCAACCTCCCAGCTGAAACCTCTTCATCTTCTTGGAAGGCCACAAAATAGACAAAGCAGGGTCTTAAATGCTCCGGCAAATGGTTGTAGCTTAACTCCAAAATTTCCCAGCAGTGTTCGATGCTCGAAAGATTGTGTGATCTTAAAGCACCCAAAATCTCCTTCCAACCCGCTGGCTTTGTACGGGCTACAACGCCAGCTATAATCAGAATGGTTAGAGGTAGTCCCTTGCATATTCGAGCAATTTGTATACCAAGATCACATAATCCAGTGGGCCAACCATTTCCTCCAAGTAACTGTCTCTGCAATAAATCCAGGCTCTCTTCTTCATTCAATGGTCTGAGTGCGTGAAGATCTTCATTTGGAGCAAGATATTGTTTACGGCTTGTCATGATAATTCTTGATAGAGTCCATAAATTGTGTTTTAATTGTTGATATTTTATTAGTTTATGGATTCAGAAGGGTTTAATTCATTAGTTTTGCTATTATTTCATGTTAGAAGATGAAAATAAGAGATTGGGACGTCTAGGGACCTGTTTACAAAATTGAAGAAGTTTTGGGGAAAAAATGAAGAAGCTACAAAGTTGAGGAACCAAAGCTGCAATTCGTCCACCTTTTGCTGTTTTCCTGCGGCTGACCTAAATTTCTATTATAAAGAGGATTCTGAGTTTTGTAAAAGGGGCAGCCGTGCATAGGCCAAAGGCTAGCACCTCAAACCTTTTATTTCTTCCAATTTTTCTTGGATTTCCATGGAGAATAAAACAGTCATACTTCCAACTATGAGTGGCTAAGTTTTCTTTTTTGATTCAAGGGATTTATTCAGTTATTCCATTATGAGGTTTTGTTCTTAATTATTGTTCTTGCCTATGATTTAAGTATTTGTTGATTTTTGTCTTATTTATGAAAGTAGATATCATTCAAATTGACAACTTGATTTGTTATTTATTTTCTAGTGCTATCTGCTAGTTGAATGTTACGTAATAGACAAGAACCGACAGTACTGAGTAGCAATTAGACAAAGCATGTGTATTGGTGAGACATTGAATATGCATGTTAGTTTAAATGTGGAATCAATGAGACAAAGTCTGAATAGTTGCAACTATCTCAATTATTTAGGTTTTGGTTCAACTATGTTTCCTTGGTTTTTATGCTATCATTGTTTGGCATGGAACGCTATCATGCCCAGCCAGATTATGATAAGGACTGATTGAGTACTATGCTTGGTTAGTTAATTTAAGGAAATTAATTGATTTATTACGGCTATCCTAATAGATCTTTGGTTGAATGCTTAAATTGCAAGAGTAGTTTTAGTAGCCTGTGATTAATGAAATAATTGAGTTATTCATCCCTTGAGTCAGAAATCTGTTACTTTGATTTCTTTTCATTTATTTAGTTTTTGTTATTTGAATTTCATTATCATAGATTTAGAATAACAATCCAAAAATCCATCATTTGCATTAATTTGAAGGAAATAATCCATCGTTCCCTCAGGAGACGACCTTACTTCTCTATACTTCGTAGTTTGAAGTAGGTTAATTTATTTGTGTGGCTTGATACCCCATCAATTCTGCTAGCCGTGTGATCCTCAGGAAATGCTTCTTTTAAGCTGCTCCAAGCTTCAACATCCCATACATCATCCAAGAAGATGAGATATGACCTTCCTTTTAAACTGCGCCATAGATTCTGGACTAAATCTTGATCAGAAGTAGTCCCAGAACCTTTTTTGGGATCAATTTGACCTAAGAGGTCAAGGAGGACTCTCCTTTTGTCAAATATTTGTGACATAGCCGCATGTGCATGAACAGAAAAATGGGACACAACAGAAGGATCATTGTAAACTTTCACAGCCAAGGTAGTTTTACCTTGTCCGAGCATACCCCACAATGGTGACAACCCACAGTTGTTTAGGTCCTCTCGTGAGCTTTAGCTCAATGGATTTCGCCTCATCAAGGTATCCTACAACCTCTGTTTTGAATGACAGAATTCTTTGAGATGACAAATGATCGCGAGTCATATCTACTCGCTTTAGTTTCATTTTTGGTTTCCGGAAGTCAATCTTTAGCTTAATGCTCCTCATGTCTTTCATTATGGAAACCAAAGATACACAGAAAGAGAATGAAATATCACCAACCACTAGGTAGTCTATGAAATGCTCTACCTTGAACAGCAGCTCCAGAATGTGATCCCAAAGGTCTTGGAGTTCCTGATTTTCATGGCGTGACTCCACAATGTCCTCCAGAAAAGATCTCAAGAAAATAATTTTAATGGTTTGGGCATTTCACCTTGATTTTGTCTCAGATTCACAACTTCCCAACTCCATCAGCTTTTCCAATAAAAAATCAACAAAAGATAGTGGAGCTTGAGGAGCATGCCGCAAGGCAAGATTGAAGAGGCACAACAAGAACATCATCTGCTTGATGAGTCCATATCCATTACCTTCGATGGGCCGACCCTTTACTCGGCTTTAGGGTCAAACCGCCTTTGGTATGGCGGTGTATTATTAATAACCCTAGTAATAATCGGATGCTTCCCAGGTCTATAAATAGGGACTATTATTCCACAATAAAGGTACACAATCTTGGCAATCAAACGATACACACAAAAACCTATTTTCTGACTTAAGCTTCGGAGTGTCTACCCTCGGGAGACGCCCAAGGTTCTGTTTAGCAGGAAACCCTAACCGGTGTTCCACCCTACATCCGTGGTACAATTCCAGGTATCGTCAAGTGGCACGCCTAGTGGGACCCGAAAACTAGGGTTTGTGTCACCAAGCTTTCTCAAGCTTTCCAAAACCTTTCAATCCGCTCTCAACGCTTCCAGAACAGAGTCGGTGGAAGAAAATATGTGGTAGTTGATAGTCCTCAATCCAGTGCTGTATCAACTGGAAGACAGACGAGCCCCGAGGACGGCGAAACCCTGGCACACTTCCGATGGAGGCAAAAGCGGAAAAGAAATGACCGACGAACGAAGAAAGAGACCACCCCTGTAAAACCAACCGATCAGAAAGATCACCGTGAAGCCCCTGATCCGTGTCAAAAACAACGACTGGCCGAGATCGAAGTGGAACTGAAGAAGTTGAAGGACGATAATTCCCTCAACCAAAGGAAAAAGAAATATATCCTCGAGGAATATAAGCGCTGCTATCTTTTAGGCCTTCACGACCCAATGGATCAAGAGATGGAGGAGTTGGTCAAAGAAAAAGAGGCAAGAAGGACCTTGGATCTCCTCGAGATCAGAAGAGGCAAACGCCCAGTCCATAATGAAGGGGAGGAAAGGGCTCATAAAGAAACCCCCTATCGTGAAGCTTCTCGCGCTGAACTTTCTGAGGCCCCCGGCGATACTTTCTGGGAAGCACTCGAGAAGACAAATCCGGTGGTTTATTAGGCGATTCAGCAGTTTGCATAGGAGCACAAGCAAAAGAAACAACCTCACAGACAAGATCGACGAAGATCACCCAGTGTCGAGGAACTGTCCAAAAGGGAGTGGGAGCCCCCGAGAGGCAATGTCCACTCTCAACTGGGACCAAAAGGGACACAGGAAAAGCCCCGGCATGGATATCGTCGAGGAGGAGATCCCCCACCTCGAAATAAAGAAAATCGAGGTAACCAAGATCCTTCAATTCGAGACTCAATGCGGAGGATGATAGGGATGATCGTGGACCGAAGCCCTTTCATCCCCAGGATCCGAGACTGTCCGAAACCTAAAGACTTCGACTTCCCCAAAGACTTCACCTGCTATACAGGAGATTTTGATCCGCAGTGATTTTTAAATAAGTATGTCCAAAAGGGAGTGGGAGCCCCCGAGAGGCAATGTCTACTCTCGACTGGGACCAAAAGGGACACCGGAAAAGCCCCGGCATGAATATCGTCGAGGAGGAGATCCCCCACCTTGAAATCAAGAAAATCGAGGCAACCAGGATCCTTTGATTCGAGACTCAATGTGGAGGATGATAGGGATGATCGTGGACCGAAGCCCTTTCATCCCCAGGATCCGAGACTGTCTGAAACCTAAAGATTTCGACTTCCCCAAAGACTTCACCTGTTATACAGGAGATTCTGATTCGCAGCGATTTTTAAACAAGTATGTCAAAAAGGGAGTGGGAGCCCCCGAGAGGCAATGTCCACTCTCGACTGGGACCAAAAGGGACACAGGAAAAGCCCCGGCATGAATATCGTCGAGGAGGAGATCCCCCACCTTGAAATAAAGAAAATCGAGGCAACCAGGATCCTTCGATTCGAGACTCAATGCGGAGGATGATAGGGATGATCGTGGACCGAAACCCTTTTATCCCCAGGATCCGAGACTGTCCGAAACCTAAAGACTTCGACTTCCCCAAAGACTTCACCTGTTATACAGGAGATTCTGATCCGCAACGATTTTTAAACAAGTATGTCCAAAAGGGAGTGGAAGCCCCCGAGAGGCAATGTCGACCCTCGACTGGGACCAAAAGAGACACAGGAAAAGCCCCGGCATGAATATCGTCGAGGAGGAGATCCCCCACCTCGAAATAAAGAAAATCGAGGCAACCAGGATCCTTCAATTCGAGACTCAATGCGGAGGATGATAGGGATGATTGTGGACCGAAGCCCTTTCATCCCCAGGATCCGAGACTATCCGAAACCTAAAGACTTCGACTTCCCCAAAGACTTCACCTGTTATACAAGAGATTCTGATCCGCGGCGATTTTTAAACAAGTATGTCCAAGTCATGAGAATCCGTAATGCATCTCTAGACTTCATGGCAAAAGCCTTACCATCGTTCCTCGACGGGCAAGCACAACGTTGGTTTGGACAGCTGCCGGAAGGAAGTATCGATAGCTTTGAGGATCTCACAGTAAAACTAGCCACCCGGTTTTTCCTCAGCAAGCAAGTTACAAAGATGTCCATTGACCTATCTTCCATAAGACAAGGACATAACGAGAGCCTCTCGGATTTCCATCGCCGCTTTACCCGTGAATCTCTCCAAATTGACAACCTCGATGACAGAGACGTGAGGAATGGCTTCATCCAAGGACTTAACCCTTGGGGACAATTCGTCCCCCTACGAGTAAAATTAACCACTAAACCTCCACGAAACACCCAAGAGATGTGGGCGACGGTGGAGAGCTATATCCAACGGGAACAAACATTGAAGAATTCCCAGGAATCTTTCTCACTTGTAGGGGAGCGAGGAGAGAAGGACAGATATAAATCCCTGACTGAAAGCAAACCTTCCCTGCCCAAGCTCGACAGATTACTCACTCCATTGATAAAGCCTCACAGAGAGATACTCCAAATCCACAAGGACGAGTTCCCAGTCCCAAAGCCACTGACTCATAATCCGAATAGGTCCATGGATCGGTATTACGAATACCACAAGGACCATGGGCATGATACGGAAGATTGTCGGGAGCTCAAGCAGGAAATTGAAGCAGCAGTGAAGTCCGGTAAATTCCAACAGTACGTGCAGAACACACAAGGCACCGCTCGAGGAGATACCCTCAGTTCCCGAGAAAAATCCGGTGGTCCCCGCAACTTCCCCAGGCAAAACAACAATCGTGGTTCCCGCAGAGACAACCAAGGAGATAATTGGCAACCGAGGGACAATTCACAGCAACTGGCTCAGCAAACTCTCGATAACAAACCGCAGCCAATACAGCAAATACCTCCCCTTGATCCCGCCAAGCAAATTACCCATAATGTCGGAGCAATTTACGGAGCACCCCTCGAGGTTCTCTAGACCACAACAATGAAAGCCTCTGTTCGACAAGTAACAAAACCTCCACCACAAGAGCTGAGTGACAAGAGGTTTAAACGAACTGAGGCAATTGTTTTCACCGATAGTGACGTCATCCCTTTCGTTTTTCCTCACAGCGACGCTATAGTCATCGATGCCATCATAGGTAATGTGTGGGTGAGCCGCATGTACGTTGACAACGGCAGCGCAGTCGACATCATCTACAATGACTGTTTCAAGAGAATGAATATACAAAATCCAGACTGGCGCCCAGCTATCTTACCATTGATGGGCTTCTCTGGGCACACGATAATCCCAAGTGGGATCGTCAGGCTTCCAATCACGGTAGGGATGTATCCTCGAATGGTAAATCTAACAATGGATTTCACCATAATCGATGCTCCCTCGCCATTTAATGTGATTCTAGAATGGCCGTGGATGTGCCAAGCCCGCGTTGTTTGTTCGCTCTACCACTTAGTCATGAAATTCCCAACGGAATATGGGATAGGAATAGTCCAAGGGTGCCAACGCAGCTCTCGGGAATGTCTTCTCACGACAGTAAAAATTGGAAAGAAAATAGTAAAATCGGAGCTGGCCGCCACAACATCAGGATGTTACTCGATTCGGCAAGGCGTATCGAGGGCCGAGTATAACGAGAGAAAACAAGAGGTCTCAGACATGGATCTCGAACAAAACCCCCAGCTCAGCAGTAAGATAGAAGAGTTGATCTTGGACGAAAATGACCCAGAAAAAACCATCAAAGTTGGTATATCCATCGAGGGAACGCTGCGGGCCGGAGTAATTGCCTTGTTACGCGACTTTCGGGACATCTTCGCGTGGTCGCCATCTGACATGACCGGAGTTCCTCGACATATTATCGAGCATAAGCTAGATGTAGATCCCAACGTCAAACCGGTTAAACAAAAGATGAGGATTTTCGCTCGAGATTGCAATGATGTGATTAATGAGGAAACTCTCAAGCTTGTTCGAGCCCATATCCTCAAAGAAGTGCTCTGGCCCACATGCCTGGCCAACCCGGTTCTTGTTCGCAAACCTGACAATTCTTGGCGCATGTGCCAAGACTACACATACCTAAACAAATATTGCCCCAAGGACGGCTACCCTCTGCCCGTAATTGACCAAATGGTAGAAGGTATTATCGGTTATAAGACCCTTAGCTTTCTCGATGCATATAAAAGATACCATCAGATCCATATGGCTAGGGAGGACGCTGAGAAAACGGCTTACATCACGGAGATTGGAGTATACTGTTACGACAAAATGCCGTTTGGGTTGAAAAATGCTGGGGCCACCTACCAGCGTTTGGTTAGTAGTACTTTCCATAGTCAAATTGGAAGGAACATCGAGATATACGTGGATGACATGGTTATCAAGAGTAACTTGGGCAGCGGGGTGGTTGAAGACATGAAAGAGATCTTCACGATCCTGCGAAGAATTAACATGAAACTCAACCCAAACAACTGCACTTTCTGTGTGGGTTCTGGGAAGTTCCTCGGGTTTCAAGTGTCAAAGGACGGAATAAGCGTAGATCCTTCAAAAGTCGAAGCAATTCTTTCAATGGAAGCCCCGAAAACAGTCAAGGAGGTACAGAAACTCACAGGATCTCTGGCGGCGCTTAACAGATTTTTGTCTCGAGCAGCAGAGAGAAGCCTTCCCTTCTTCAAGAGCCTAAGAAAAGGGAGGGGTTTCCAATGGACCGAAGAATGTCAAAAAGCCTTCCAAGAGTTAAAGGAACATCTCAAGCAACTCCCTATGCTGGCAAAACCACTGCCAGGGGAAGTTCTATATATCTATTTAGCCGCTCGAGAAACGGCCATATCCGCGGTGCTAATTCAGAAAGAAGACAATAAAGAGCTCCATGTATACTTTGTAAGCAAAGTCCTGCAAGGGGCGGAGTCTCGATATACCTAAGCCTCGTACCCGCTGCCCGACGGTTGCGTCCCTACTTTCAAGCTCATCCCATACAAGTCTTAATCGAGCAACCTATCCAGCAAGTCCTCCTCAAGCCGGAAGCTTCAGGCAGAATGATGAAATGGGCAGTCGAGTTGGAGGAACACCATATCGAGTACAAGCTCCGCACGGCCATAAAAGGGCAGACATTCGCAGATTTCCTAGTGGAAATGCCCAGAGCTCCAGGAACCACGCAAGAATCAACACCGGAGAAGCAACTACAAGAACATCCCTCCACAGATCCTCGAGCCTGGACTCTGTACGTCGACGGCTCTTCCTACGAAGATGGGGGAGGAGCAGGTATCATCCTAGCAAAGCCAGCAGCACCTCGAGAAATCGAGGAAGTCAAGGAATACGATGCAGAATATTCCTACGCCTTGCGGTTCAATTTCCCAGTTACTAACAATGTCGCTGAATACGAGGCAATGATTAGGGGGTTAAATATGGCCCTCAAGTTAGGAGTTCGAAACTTGCAAGTTTTTAGCGATTCTCAAATAGTGGTTAAGCAAATCAAGGGCGAGTACACAGTCCGTGAGGAACACCTTCGGCCATATCTCGAGAAGGTCCTGGAAATCAAAGACAAGTTTAAAGAATGCTCCATCTCTCACTACTCGGCTTTAGGGTCAAACCGCCCTTGGTATGGCGGTGTATTATTACTAACCCTAGTAATAATCGGATGCTTCCTAGGTCTATAAATAGGGACTATTATTCCACAATAAAGGTATGCAATCTTAGCTATCAAATGATACACACATAACCTTATTTTCTGACTTAAACTTCGTAGTGTCTACCCTCGGGAGACGCCCAAGGTTCTATTTTGCAGGAAACTCTAACCGATGTTTCACTCTACATCCGCGGTACAATTTCAGGTATCGTCACTGCTCATCCAAGACTTCCATTGGTTGTCTTAGGATTTCAATTTAAAGTCCCAAATTCGAACTCTGGAACCCCATAGATTGTCCAGTACAGAATTGAAGATCACCCCGATTTCGTAAAGTGGAAGAGAGTTTGAAGATTGCCTCTCCTTGTCCAAGAGGGTGACATAGAATTCATCAATTTCTTCCTTCCCATCTCTTAAATGTTCTTCCAACACCGACGCTAGATCAAATACATTAGCAATATTAAGTTGCTCGGGAGAGGAGGTAGCTTCCCCTGACAAACGAAGGCGCAGAGTGTGAAAAATCTGGGCTATTTCGCAGACCACATTTTCAATCGTGAGCAAAAAAGATCCAAAATTTGGATCGTCCTCCGAGTTATCGGCTAAAAGAATAAATGTCTTAAGATTCCTTAACCTAAACAACAACAACCCTAGATTTTGATCAGCCCCCAACACTTCCAGTCCCACCAAGAGCTCTGCATTATCTATGGCAGAACCAATACAGGAAACGAGGGAGGAGGTGGTGGCCATCTTCTTTTGTTGTTGGGTCTGAGATTCTGAATTCGAATGCCAAGTAATCAAAAATACAACAATACTTGAACAGAAAGAAGGCAAACTGATGATGGGATGTGATGAACCAGAACACCGAGGGCACTGTAAAATACACGCTGTACTACCTACCTCGCGATAGATGGGTACTATTATTTAGTACCATAATAATGATGACCAATTAGTTTGTTTTGCTGTTACCTGCAAGGAAGAAGAAATGATAACCAACCCGAAAACTGCTCCAGCGCGCGATGATGGAGACTTCAATCTTATATATACATTCAACTTTTGGTGTTTTTTTCCTGAGACTAGTTCCAACTGATGTAAGCATGCATGCCAGCCAGTCAGTGCAAGATTAAAAGACTGGATGGGCGGTTGTTGTCAGTTGTCACAATTCTATGTATTGGCCATCTTTGTCATCCTCCCTTCATCTCTCTCACTCAATCAGTATAATACTACTTCTATCATCAGCAGGGCCGGTAGGAAGTCATAGTCGTCCCTTGGCATGCTACACTCAGTATTAATTAATTGAATGGAAGCCAAAAAATGAAATGTTATTGGTGATTGACACATACATAACAATTCAAGGAGTCAAACCATATATGCATTTTCACTAGGAGAAGTTTAGAAAATTTTATTGGACTACTTTTAATTAACTAGATATATGTACCGATCATGTTGCTAAATGTATGGTAAGCATCCGAATTCCAGAAATTACAGCAATCGGACATCTGAACTAACAATGGAGAAAGATTCATAGCATTATGTATTTATTTTCTGGAGTGAGACTGAACAATCTCTCAGGCCTCACCAGGGAGTATGCAAATTTAAGTTTTGTATGACTTAAAGCATTTCATTCTACTTAATGCAACATAATCCAAATGCCTCTGAAGGCTACAACACACAAACCCTTACACAAACGGCTCTAAAACATTGGCCTGCACTTTATTGTGCTTGAAGAAACCAAAATACTATGCTGCATTCAAGAACTTCAAGAAATCGCAGTGTATATCTTTAACTAGTAGTCAATGTAACTTCCGTTGCTCCTCTTCTCCAACTCATGATTTCAATTCTGGTCATCGAGGGGACCTGAGAATCCATCCTACAAAATAAAAATAAAATGTCAACAACACTGAATGCAGATCTTCTCTGGCATGTCACATTGGCAAGAATTACTTGGGTAGTTTGCCGAATGTTCTGCATGTTCAGAAAGATCTAAGACTTGGATCCTTCCTCAACCTTTTTGCTAAAAGATGAAATATCACAAGATTCCTTAACCCGAATAACAGCAACTCCATGTCTGAATCAACAAAACTTCCTGCATCTACTTCAGAACAAATGCAGGTCATGTGGGTGGAAGCTATCTTGTTTAGTCAGGAATATTTTTCTGGAACCTGAAGTGCACTAGCCAACAATTTTAAAGACAGGTTATATGAATGGAAAGCAACAGAGAGACAGGTTTAAGAAAATTCGGGTGATAGTGAAGGGCAATAAGTTGATGAAGGTGAAATTTCTGAATTGCGAAAGGGAAAAGAAGAAGACTAGAAGTGAAAAGCAAGGCACCGAAAAACTGAAAAGGAAACAAGTTGTTAGGGGACCGGCGAGTAATCTCAATGGCAGAGTTAAAGCAGAAGATTGCTTACGAAAGCAATCAGGGCTGTAAAAGAATCAATTAAAGAAAAATTTTAGTAAACACAACAAAGAACAAAGTCAGCAGTTAGCAGTCTGAATGAACCAGTGGAGCCAGGAGTATACAGTATCGATTCCATGGGAAAGACAACTAACTCATGAGCAGTATAGTGTCTGATGGGGGGGAGTTCGTTCATTCATGGCTGGCAGGTTCACTCTATAAGCAGAAGTTCTATCTTTGTCACTCTATAAGCTTCTTAATTAACCACGGCGAAAGATTCAAATAATTTTCACATGATTTTCTTTGTCATGAAAATCCAAAAGGATGCATTTCATCTTACGGACATTTGGAAACATTTTCATTAACACTTCTATGTAGCTAGGCCACAAAGCCAAACCCACTCATACAAACCAGACGAACTGCAAAGATTTGCCATGGGCAAAGTACCACCAGACCTGAAAATATCAGTTAAACCCTTCCAACAGATAAGTGAGTTATAAACGTAAGATTCCATTCACAGGTGATAAAAAATGCTGACAAGCACTTGATGCTAATCCAGGACAATATGAAGCCTCTTCCAGCCTCAAAAAGCTATACAGATAGTTTGCATCACAAAAATGAGGACAGTGGAGTAAATGTCAACTTCAAGGGCTGCACAGCATTGATAATATTAGGAGTAATAATTTGTAGTTCAGTTTATCTCAAAGAATTGTTCAGAAAATGAGATGGAATATAAATTAATTCCTAGTTCTGCAATTAACTTTCATCAACAAGAGCCGAAGCTATCACTATGGGCAGATCATGCGTACTCAATTTAACTTTTACCAACACAATGCCATCATGAATGCATTATAGTATTATAACCAGAATTGTTTGAAAGTAAGATTTGTTTGGAATCACATGTTGTCTTTCACTGAATACATTTAACTAAGTAATCCCAAAAGTAGAAGGAAAACCATACAAATATGCTCAAAGATATATACCCAAAGAGTGGCAGTGACTAACACAACTAGATCAGGAAGTAATGATCTTCAGCTCTGAATTTCCGTGTTCCTCCTGGACTTCCTTAATCCTTCCAACCAGCTCTACTACAGTTGCAGAACAACGTGCGACCTGTATCACCTCAAGTGTCGAAATCTCTTCCAAACAAGAAGGCATCTCTTTCAAAAATCCACAACTCGTCAACACCAACCTCTCAAGACAGTCGAAATGATCCTCTGAAGCACTCCACCAGTGTAGCTTCCAGGATGACAATTGCAAGAATCTCAGTTTGGGGAATTTCTCTTCTTGCATTTTCCATGTGTCATTTTCGAAGCTTACAGCTTTTAATTTCAGGACTTCAAGATTTGACAGGTTTGCAATGGTCAAGAGACTCTCACTCGACAAATGAAACCTTAACAACGTCAATTTCTTGAGATTTGCAGGCAAACTGAACTCAAACCTAATGCCTTGAGGTTCTTCAATACCATAGAACAATGACATACCAAGTGATTCTAATCGGCTTAAAAACTCAGGAACTGCAACCTTGATATAATCTCCTACTTTTTCATCGATATCCCAAAGGATGCATTTCAACTTACGGACATTTGGAAACTTTTTCATTAAACCTTCCATTCTGTTACCCCTGAACGGAATAGCTAAGCCTGAAAGCCAACCCAACCCACACAAATTAGACGAGCTGCCAAGATTTTCCATGGGAAAAGTACCGCCTGGACTTGTCACGTAAAGATGCCTCAATTTCCGTAGATTCCAGAAACTTTCTGGAAATGAGATTGCCTTCTCTCCTGTTATTCGATTCAAAATGAAAGTTTCCAGATTAGAGAGATTACCTATCAATGATGGAATCTCCCTCATATGGCCTTGAATGGCCAAGAAGGCCAACTGTACAAGATCTCCTATTTCACTTGGAAACACTGGACTTAAATTCACATGCCCTAAATCCAATACTCTCAGAAGTTTGCAAATGTGAATCAGGAAGGATAGATTTTGTGGTACTCGATGCAAGTAATAGCTGAAACGCAGAGAACGCGCATGAGGGAAAAAGTTGGAGAACCTTATCAAATGCTTCGGATCAGAGTTAATGCATAACCTGCGTAGATTGTGTGGTGCTTGAAATTCCAAGAACTCATTTTCTCCAAGTGAAGAGAAAAAATGTTCATCTTTCGCCTTCTGCAAGCAAAATTCATGAAGCAAGTCATGAACACGGCATGTTTTTGCTCCACGCATTGATTTCTGTTGCGCAACCATAAGTAGACTTCTACCGATTAAATCTTTCAAGTAGTTTTCAGCAACGTCTTCAATGCGTTTAGTCTCATCTTTCCGGATAAATCCTTCAGCTGCCCATAGAGAAATCAATTTCCTCACTGAAACATCTTCATCTTCAGGAAACATTGCAAAATACAGAAGGCAAGGCCTTAAGTGCTCTGGTAAATGCTTGTAACTCAACTCCAATGTGTTCCAGCACTGTTCTGTACTCGAGATTGTTCCTGATCTTAAACCACCTAAAATCGTCCTCCAACCTTTTGTCTCTGTCGATGCTAGAACACCAGCTACAATTACGATCGTCAGAGGTAATCCCTTGCAAATTTCAGTAATTTCTATTCCAAGATCAACTAATTCAATGGGCCAACCACTTCCACCAAATAACTTCCTCTGTAACAAATCCATACTCTCGTCTTCATTGAATGGCCTAAGCATGTGAGGTTCTGCATTGGTGGAAATATCATGATGACGACTTGTCAGCATGATTCTACTTGCCATATGATCATCAGGGAAAGCTTCTTTCAAGCTACTCAATGCTTCAGCTTCCCAAATGTCATCCAAAAAAATGAGATATCTCATTCCTCTTAAACTGCGCCACACAATCTGTACTAAATCATTATCCGAAGTGATTCCAGCACATTTATTGGGATCAATTTGATTTAAAATTTCAAGTAGGATTCTCTTTTTTTCGAATATTTGTGAAACAGTGGCCCGAGCACGAACAGCAAAATGGCACGCGACAGAATCATTATTGTAAATTTTTGTTGCCAAAGTAGTCTTACCTTGTCCCGGCATACCTACAATAGCCACGATTTGTAATTTCTTCGAGCCCCGTGTGAGCCTGTTTGTGATGGATTCCGCTTCGTCAAGAAAGCCTACAACATCATTATCTAATGATAGAGTTCTTTGAGGTGGCACAGGACAGTGAGTCATGGTTAATCTCTGGAGAGTTATTTCTGATTTCCAGATTTCAACTTCCATCTTAATGCTCCCGAAAAGTTTCATGATGGAATCAAATGATGCTACAAAGGAATCTGAAAGATCACAAACTACTAGGTAGTCAATGAGATGCTCTACCTTGTAAACCAGCTCCATAGTATGATCCCACAGAGTTTGGAGCTCCTCCTTTTCATGTCGTAGCTCAGCAATATCTCCTATGAAAGATCTCAAGAAGACAAGTTCATCTTTAATAATTTGGGGATATCCCCTTGAATTTGTTTCAGCTTCACAACTTGTCAGCTCCTCCAGCTTTTCCAACAAAAAATCAACAAAAGACAATGGAGCAGTGGTTGGAACAATGTTGAACATTGATTCTGGTGTCGCACTTTCTTCCCTCAGCTCAGCAGCAATCAGCCTGCTGATTGCGTTCAACAAATGCTGAAGTTCATGATCTGTTATTACATGAGTTTGGTGTGATGTGAAAATCAAAACCGCGGCATCACATACCAGATCGAAAATGTGGTCTTTAGTTTCCAAATCAAACTTGTTTGGCTGGTGAGAAAGAATGGTTCTCAAGGATCCAAGTCCGTCATAAAGTTCTTGGAATTGATCCAGCATAGAAACTGCATGAGCACAGAGTTGTGGCATCTCCAAAACATTAGACATGAGAGATTCAAGGAATTGTCTTGCATAAATCTCCTCTTCGCCCACGTCTCGATCAGCAGGAGCAAGAGATCTCCTCCCTGACTTTGAGCTATTCAGGACCTCAGTGTAAGTCTTATAGACCTGAGGATCAACGGGCATGATACGCTGTATCAACACCGAAATCGATAACAGCATTTCGCAACAAATACTTTCATCACACTCTTCAGGATCACACCTGAAAAGGAGAAATGCAGCATTGATAGAAATAACTTCAACATGAGCACATAAATCTTTACAAGCATCGGAATCAACAGCACGCGACACAAAGGAGGCGAGATTTCTCAACAACTTCATCTGCTCTTCCAAGGCTTTCATGGGTTCTCCTAGAATTTCACCATTAACCTCCCATTCCAAGCTGTGGAACGCCTCTAGATTCTGAAGTACAGAAACCATGATACTCGAAACTGAATCCGCCGTGAGACGGAATGATTGCCTCTGGATATCCTCCAAGATAACGACATAGAATTCACTTATTTGTTCGTCCCAAGTTGTAAAATCTTCCCCGAACCCGGCCTCTGAATCAGGCTCAAGAAAATCGGTATGAAATTGCTCACTAGTAGCTTCACCACACAGAAAAAGGCACGCGGTGTGAAACCGTTTCCCAATGTCACAAACAAAATCTTCAATGGCTAGCAAAAGAGATCCGAGAGTTGGATCGTCATTGCTCAAGATCTTGGCGGAGAAAAGAAATGTTCTAATATTCCTTAACTTGAACATCAGCAACTTGATTCCCGAATTTAAATTAGCAACACCCGAGTCCACCAGGAACTGCAGATCATCCACTGCAGAACCAATACAGGTAATCAGGTCAGAGGCCATCTTCTTCTTCTTCTTCTTGTTTAACTAATTAATGAGAATATGTAGTAAATGAACTAGGTTTGAATGAACCCAGAACACAAAACTACATACCTATCCACTTCAATGGCCGATACTCACTTGAGTCTTTTTCTCATTATCTGTTTCAGTTTCACACAAATGTGAACTGTATGGCATAAAAAGATCAGATTTTTTTGGCCATCATTGTGTCCATTATTGAGAATTTTTTAGGTGGGCCAAAAAAAATGGAGATAAGTCAAAGCATTCACATGCAAAAATGTCGGCAAAGTTCGGCACTTCGATGAATGAAAGTGATGACTTCGACGGAGATGGCGGACGACTTCAACTGGTTTACAGAGTTGACTTCAGAGTTTAGAGGTTTCTTCTAATTTTTATTCTTTTTTTGTTCTCTCTTTGGGGATGAGGAATTTATGTTTTAGACTAAATCATAAAACATCCCATACATTTGAGCCAAAAATCATTTTCGTCCTATGTATTTTAAAAAGTACATCTTCGTCCCATTTTGTCCGAAAAAATCGATTTTTCGACTATTTATGTCCAAATTTAAAAAGTCGAAAAATCGCATAGTTGAAAAAATCACATAGTTGAAATAGGGCAAAAATGTGCGTTTGAAAATGTATGACATGAAAATAAATTTTTGGCCGAATGCATGGATGTTTTCTATGATTTAGTCTATTTTTTACCTAGAATTCTTTATCTCAGTGACAAATTTTTAAGGATTCCAGGCACAAACCTGCTAAAGCTTTTGACATACGTCTCGTACTTGTTTCAATTTCATTCCATGGGGAAGTTCTTCAACAAGTAGAATAAGGTAAGAATCATTTGTCATAATGTTCTAGTACGTTTTTTTTTTTAATGTTTTGTTGATTATTATTTCATAGTTTTGTATGGAATAATCCATTAATTTATTGAACTAAAGAGAAATCAATAATTGCAAGCTGATAAAACTCTTGAATATGCAGTACCAAACAGAACAGAGTAAATTAAATAAAGATAATGCAGAAGTATCAAATTGATCCACTACTAGATTTAAATCAGTTTCTCATAGCTTTTCTTTGAAACCTTTAGCACACAGACACACACAAAAAAAAAAAAAAAAAGATTAGTAGTTTTTGTAGGATTGAGAGCTTGATCTGTTGCCTCAAAGCCTGATGATTGTAGCAAACTTATTGTTCCAAATAATTTCGACCGGCTGGTTCCAGACTAGAGTATGAAGATTTTGAATGCAGATTATACGGAAAATCTGATGAACAAAACGCGCAGCAAATTGTCACATTGCACCTACTAACAATTGGAACTTTCAAAAATGACTGAACCTTAAACAAAAGAAAGGAATTTTGAAGCATAAATAACGATTTGCTCACAACTCAATGAAAAAATCCAGATTCAGGCACACAGCAAGTCGCTGCAGCAGCATCCTGGCGGCATATCACAAAGTAGACTCTCATTTGAAACCATTTTGAGTTTAACTACTAAACTCATATCATATTTTTGTATTGTGAAATTAAAGTTCTATATGAACACTGTAAATGAGCCAACAATAAGAAAACTAGACAGGACACTGCAGCCACAATGATCGAGCATGTCATATGGGTTTGACAGGACACAGCCACCGCCCAGTTTCATAACTATGTCCATGCAGAAAGGTTCAAAACATTTACTTCTGACATTAGTCCGATCAACATCAGTTCCCAGTGTTGAACTAGATTCGTTGCAGATTGAACACATTTTAAGGTCTAGAAGAAGACTGACTAATAGCATAATTTCTGGAATAAAACCGAAACAAGATGAAGAGGTCAAAATACTACAACTATATTTAACCTTTAAGAGAAGACGAAGCATACTTTCACCAGTTATCAACTAACCTCCGCTGCTTCTCTGCACAGACTTGAACTGTGAGAGATAACCTTTGGCATGTTATTTTGCAACCCTTGCATTGATATCTAATGTTTACTTCCAAACTAGGTTTGAAGCAGCAATAATCTGACTTACACTTACCAATATCTAAACCTGCAGGAAAGAGATTCTTGATTGATTGGAGCAATTAGCAGCAGCAATAATCAAATCCATCAAAGGAACTATATCTTCAAATATCATTAGTACTGAAAATGGTCATTGGGATAGACCACGAGGGATGATCTGAGGGGGAAAAAATTAAAATAATTTATAAGTCAGAAAATAATGCTTGAGAGAAGTATAAAAAAATAACCTTCCAACCTAGGAACAAGTCATGAATATAAGCCTCCTTTTACATCGAAAAAAACAGCATGGAACTGTCATACATATGTGAAGCAATGAGACAGCAAAATCACTCGTTATAGCATCCAAGTATATCGAGATTCTAATGTTTTAATCCACAAGGAAACAATTAATAGTGAACAGATACCAACTGAAAAAGCCTTCTGTTATTGCAACCCATGAGTCTAGATATAACATCCATTGACGTAAATTGGGATGAAATGCATAACAGGTATAGCACTGTAGATTACTTCTGGAAAGACATGCTGCCTTTCCTCTGAATACATCAAAACTAATGACTCCAAAGAGTACAAGGAAAAATAAAAAAGAAAAGAAAGCATTCAATGATTGATACTGAAAGATTACCAGTAAGGAACCACGGTAAACATCATCACTTGTTCAACATCCAGCCTAAATAGATGCAACAAAATCAGCCTGATTTGACATTAATGATCTTCAGCTCTGAATTTCCGTAGTTCTCTTGTGCTTCCTTAATGTTTCCCACTAATTCCATTACTTTCTTCGAACAATACCTGAGCTCGATCACTTCAAGCGTTGGAATATAGTCTAGACAAGAAGGCACCTCTTTTAAACTTCCACATCTCACCAACACCAGCTTCTCAAGAAGGTCAAATTGATCGTCAGAAGCAGTCCACGACAATAGACACCAGGATGACAATTGCAAGATTCTAAGCTTGGAAAATTCTGCTTCTTCCATTTCCCATGTGTTTCCTTTGAAGTGCACATCTTCAAATTTGAGGACTTCTAGATTTGACAATCTAGAAATGGTTGATAGACTGCTACTAGACAACGGAAAGTTTGACAGCGTCAGTTTCTTGAGATTTGCAGGCAAACTAAACTCACTGTGAGTTACTCCATCATAGGACAGAGATATACTAAGTGATTCTAGCTGGCACAAAATCTGCGGAACTACAATCTTGACATGATTTATTAGCATGTTTGGAGATTTCAAAAGGGTGCATTTTAACTTCCGGATATTTGGAAACTTCAGTAGTAACCGTTCCATGTCGTGTGGATGACAAGGAATAGCTATACCAGAAAGCCAATCCAACTCACATAAATCCGATGAGTTGGCAATATTCTCCATGGGGAAAACACCACCTTGACAAGTCATGTAAAAATACCTCAACTTCTGGAGATTCCAAAAACTATCTGGCAATGAAACAGTCTTGTTCTCTGCTAAATGATTTAGAATAAATGTTTCCAGATTAGAGAGTGTACCTATTGATAATGGGATGTCCGGCATACTGCCTCGAATTGCCAGGAAGGACAACTGCACTAGCAGTCCTATTTCACTTGGAAATACAAGACCTAAATTGAGTTGCTCCAAATCCAAAACTTTGAGAAGTTTGCACATGTGAAACATGAAGGTTAAATTTGGCAGCACCTGTTGTGCATAATAGTTGAAATTTAGAGAACGTACAGATTGTAAGGATGTATTGGACATTCTGAGGTGTTTCGGATCAGAGTTAATGCATAACCTCCGAAGGCAGTCTGGCGCATGAAATTCCAAAACCTTATCCATGTCTGGTAGAATAGAGAAAAACCATTCATCTTTGGCTTTATGCAAGCAAAATTCATGAAGCAAGTCATGGATGCGGCAGGCTTTCACTCCACCGGTGGACTTTTGTTTGGCAACTGAAATTAAACTTCTACCAACCAAATGTTTCAAGTATTCTTCAGCAACATCTTCAAAATGTTCCGTCTCATCTTTCTGAACCAATCCTTCGGCTATCCATAGTTGAAATAACCTCTTGACAGAAACCTCTTTATCTTCTGGAAATGTCGCCAAGTAGAGAAGGCAGGGCCTTAAATGCTCCGGTAAATGGCTGTAGCTCAGCTCTAGTGTGTTCCTGCATTGTTCTGTACTGGAGACAGTACCTGATCCTAAACCTCGCAGAATCTTCTTCCAACCATTTGGCTCTACGGTTGCTAGAATGCCAGCTACAATAAGAATTGTTAGAGGTAATCCCTTGCAAATTTGAGCAATTTTCCTCCCAAGATCAACTAATTCATCGGGCCAACTACTTCCCCCAAACAACTTTCTCTGTAGTAAATCCATGCTCTCTTCTTCACTGAAAGCTCGAAGTTCATGAGCTTCTTCACTGGGAGCAACATCATGGTGACGGCTTGTGAACATAATTCTGCTTGCTGTATGATCCTCCGGGAATGCCTCTTTCAAGCTACTCCATGCTTCAGCTTCCCATATGTCATCCAAAAAGATGAGATATTTCTTTCCTTTTAAACTGCGCCACACCTTCTGCACTAAATCGTGATCAGAAATGATCCCAGAACATTTATCGGGATCAATTTGACCTAAGAGGTCAAGGAGGACTCTACTTTTGTCCACTACTTGTGACACAGATGTCCATGCACGCGCGGAGAAATGTAGCAAAATAGAAGGATCATTGTAAACTCTTGCAGCCAGAGTAGTTTTACCTTGTCCTGGCATACCCACAATGGATACAATGCGTACTTGCTTTGATCCTCTCGTCAGCTGATTTTTAATTGATTCCACCTCTTCAACATAACCAACAATCTCATTATCAGATGAGAGAGTTCTTTGAGACGGCACATGATGATGATGATGAGCCATGGTTACTCCCTTCATTTTGGCTTCTAGTGTCTGGACCTCAAAGTCCAGCCCTGATGCAGCTTTCTTCCCAAACTCTGCAATAATACGCCTGATTGCTTCCAACAAATGCCAGAGATCGTGATCTAGTTGAACCTGTGTCTGGTACAAGGAACAAATCAAGATTCCGGCATCGCATACAACATCAAAGAAGCGGTCTTTAGCATTCAAATCAAAGTCGTTTGTTGGCTTGTGGGAGAGAATGGTTGTTAAGGATCCAAGGCCTTGATAAAGCTCTTGGAGTTGATCTTTCATAGAAGAGACCACACCCCAAAGTTGATCATTTCCAGAGACCACATCTTCAGATTCCAGAAGTAGTAGCATCTCCGAGAGATTAGACCTGAGAGAATCAAGGAACCCCTTTGCGAGACTGTCCTCTTGGTCCATGTCTCGATCAGCAGGAGCGAGTAATCTTCGCCATGACTTTGAGCTTCTCAAGATCGCAGTGTAAGCATTATAGACCCGAGGATGGATTGGTTTGATGTATTCTACCAACTGGGAAACGAACAAGAGCACCTGTTCGGAAAAACTCTTTTCAGGGATGTTTTCAGATTGACACCTGAAATTGAGAAAAGCAACATTGACAGAAACAGCTCCAAGATGAATCAAGAAATCTTCATCAGCTTTGTTAGACTCAGGCTCAGCTGACTTAAAGGCAAAGAGTCGGAGGTTTTCCAGGAACAGGATCTGCTCTTCTAAGGCTTTCATGGGTTCTTCAAGAGTTTCGACGTTAACGTCCCACTCCAAACTATGGAACAACCATAGATTCTTCATTGCAGAAGCAAACATAATACCAACGTCAACACCTGTAAGAGGTTGTGATTGCCTGGAGGGATCAAAGAGAGCGTCGTACAAATGACTAATTTGTTCCCCCAAAGATTGAAAATCTATATCCAAATCATCAACGTCGTCAAACTGGCCGTGATCATCTGCATCAGACAAGAAGGTGCGTACGATGTGAAACCACTTTTCCAATCTGGAAACAACACCTTCCAGCTTTTGCAGGAAAGGTACAAGAACACTCTGATCATTGCCTAGTTTTTTGGCTGAAAGAAGAAATATTTTCAAACTTGTCAGCGCAAATATGATGAAGTTGAGATCGGAATCTACTTGAGGACCCATTGCTTTCACCATGCCCTGCAGATCACCTAGGGAAGAATCAATGCGGCTAATGAGGTCGGAGGCGGATGCCATCTTGTTGCTGTTTCTGCTGCTGCAACTCATGAATATATATATATATATATATATTTTTTTTTCACACACACACACACAGAAATGGATTAATGTGAGAAATGAAGATGATGATGACAGTCAATGGGGGAAAAAAGACAGATTTTGAATAGAGAGTAGCTAGCCCCTGGAAGGGATATGGCAAACTAAAAACAAGTTTGGATGAGAGGTGAAATACTGATATTTGAAGCTTTTTTCTTCGGCCACACAACTCGATCACTAGTGTTAGTATAGTAACTTTCTACTATTACTAAACCTAGTAGGAAAAAGCTTGACAATTATTATTCTGGGTCGGAGGAAATACGATATTTTCTCCTTTTTCTCCATGACTTTTTTATCCTATAGATACAAACGTGAATCATGCACACAAAATTATCGTCATTTGGATTTGGGTGGCAGACAGGTCTCTTCTTTGCTTCCACTAACGAACGAAGTGGGCCAAAACCACCACAGCCACAACCACAACAACAGAGATTCTGGGTTATTGATGATGCCTCAATGTTAACTACAAGAAGTTGTACATAAAATAAAGATTTTCATCACAACATACTATATGCTAAGATGATCAGATGCCGTATCACTACAATGACAATATCATCTACTACTATGTTACCTGGACTCGGATACGAGTGTCGTATCAAGTGCGGGGATCTGAGTGTCCGACTCGTCAATATTTTAAAAATTTTGGATATTTTAGGCTAAAATACCATACCGGATACTCATAACCACACCAGTGTTGATACGACACGACACGGGTATTCTCCCCAAATAGAAGAGTCCGGGTAACAGAGATCTACTAGCTCTGACGTTCGCCTATTATGAATACTCACTGCAATATATAGGCTTCAAATTCTACACTTTTAGGAGAAAAGTGTATGCATAGAGGATGTCGATGAGAAACGTTACCAGTTGATCCTCCAGTTTTGATTTTTACTTTTAGTTCAAATTGTATTTAAAATAAAAATCGAAATTAGACATTTATTTTGGGACGGAAGAAGTATATATGAATCAAAATAATGCTGTGGCTTTTTTTATCCACAAGCAAAGGCGAAGATAGATTTCAATTCACTATCACTAATCCGCAGAAATGTGAATCTAATCCACCATCTGGCCCATCCACCATCATGACTCACATAGGAGTAACGTGTAGTATTAACAAAGATAAGCAAATGTACTATTTTAAGTTCTGTAACCTGAAGCTTCAACTAGCCAAACTGTTCTAGGTTGAAGCTAGTACAATGCAGATTTTCTTCAATGAATTTTGTCCCCTTTTTTGGAAAAAAAAAAAAAAACGAAGAAGAAGAAACAGGGAATAAAGAAAAAGCCAAACATAAACACAATTTTCTTACTGAAAAAGACCCCACTTGAGCTGCAGCAGGTGGAGGTGATCACTATCAAATTTAGGACACGTTGTTAGATTATATTTCAAAAAAAAAAAAAAATCTCAACTTTTGGATTGGTTCAGTAAGCAGAAAGTTTAACCAAGGAAAAAAAGTGGAAGCATATATAACCCTGTGAGACGAGAACACCTAGATTATAATCATTTCTTTGTCTTGTGTGACTTAACAATAATCTGTCCAGTGCGACTTGAGCTTGCGTTCGATTATTACAGGCCTTGCGACTAAATGCTAGAATTGGAAATTTTTAAGCATTAGTTAAACTGGAATTGAAGCTTTCACTGAATTACATACACAACAGGTGATTCCAAAAGTTTGAGAAAAACGAAAATACAAACACACTCAATGGTCTGATACTTAAGCATAATCTCCATAATCACTTTGTCGCAAATCCAGCGGAAACAGATGCAGAGAATCAATCAAAGCAGGGAAGTAATGATCTCCAGCTCTGAATTTCCATTGTCCTCTTGTATCTCCTTGATATTTTGCACTAATTCTACCGCAGTTTTTGAACAATTTACGACCTGAATCGTCGCAAGAGTTGGAATATTTTCGAGGCACGAAGGCAACTCTTCCAAGGATGCACAGCCCAGCAATGCCAACTTCTCAAGACACTCAAATTGATCCTCAGTAGCAATCCAGGAGAGCAGACCCACTGATGACATTTGCAAGAATCTGAGTTTGGAGAATTCTCCCTCTTCCATTTCCCACGTGTTTCCTTCAAAGCTTACAACCGTAAACTTGAGGACTTCAAGGTTTGGAAGTTTAGAAATTGTTGATAGACTGCTACGACACAAGTAGAAGAATGCAAATGATAACTTCTTCAATTTCGCAGAGAAACTAAACTCAAACTCTCTACGATTAGGCTGTTCACCTGTGAAAGGCAGTGATATACCAAGTGATTCTAGTTGGCTCAAAGATTCTGGAACCACAACCTTGATATAATCTCCTGTTTCTTCAGGAGAAACCAAAAGGGTGCATTTCAACTTACGGACATTTGGAAACCTTTTCAGTAAGCCTTCCATGTCGCCTGGACAAGGAATAGCAACACCAGAAAGTTTATCCAATTCACATAAATCAGGTGATGTGTCAGGATTTTCCAAAGGAAAACTACCACCTGGACTCGCTATGGAAAGATGCCTTAATTTCGGTAGATTCCAGAAAGTGGCTGGAAGCGAACGCCTTGTCTTGTCTTAATTGATTCAGAATAAGAGTTTCAAGATTGGCAAGGCTACCTATCAATGGTGGGATGTCCGTCATATAGCCTTCAATAGCCAGGAAGGCCAGCTGCACAAGCAGCCCTATTTCACTTGGAAACACATCACCCAAATTGGTTTTCCCCAAATCCACAACTCTTAGGAGTTTGGCCATGTAAAACATGTACGATAAATCTTGTGGCTCTCGGACATGATAGTTGGACAGCATAGAACGTAGGTGGCAAAAGAAATTGCTTGTCCTCGGGAGATGCTTTGGATTGAAGTTAATGCATAACCTCCTAGGATTTTCCGATGTCTGAAGTCCCAAAAACTTTTTGTTGCCTCCTAGAAAAGAGCAAAAGTGTTCGTTTTCTGCTCTCTGCAAACAAAATTCATGAAGCAAGTCATGAATGCGACATGCTTTCATCCCGCCCATAGAACTTTGTTTTGTGACCATGAGTAAGCCCCTGCCAATTAAATCTTTTAGGTAGTCTTCAGCTACATCTTCAATGCGCTTCGTCTCAGATTTCCGAACAAATCCTTCAGCTATCCATAGGCGAAGCAACCTCTGGACAGGAACCACACTATCTTCTGCAAATGCTGCGAAATAGAGAAAGCAAGGCCTCAAATGCTCCGGTAAGGAGCTGTAGCTCAACTCCAACGTGTGTCGGCACTGTTCTGCACTCGAGACCATGCCTGATCTTAGACCACCTAGAATCGTCTCCCAACCATCTCGCGATGTGTTTGCTAAAATTCCACCTACAATAAGAATTGTTAGAGGTAGCCCCTTACAGATTTGGACAATTTTCGTCCCAATATCAACTAATTCAGGGGGCCAGCAACTCCCACCAAATAACTTTCCTTGTAACAACTCCATGCTCTCTTCTTCAGTGAATGGTCTAAGTATGTGAGGTTCTTCGGGGGGAACAATATCATGTCGACGACTTGTCACCATAATTCTACTCCCCATCTGATCATCAGGGAAAGCTTCTTTCAAATTACTCCATGCTTCAGCTTCCCAGACGTCATCTAAAAAGATGAGATATCTCCGTCCTTTTAAATGGCGCCACGCTTTCTCCACTAAATCATACTCCGAAATGAATTCGCAAGATTCATCGGGATCAATTTGGCTTAGAAGGCCGAGGAGGACTGTCTTTTTTTCCACTACCTGTGACACGGTAGAACATGCACAAACAGAAAAGTGGAGCGAAACAGAAGGATCATTGTAAATCTTTGCAGCCAACGTAGTCTTACCTTGTCCTGGCATTCCCACAATGGGAACAACTTGCAGGGTCTTCGATCCTCTCATGAGGCGATTCTTAACTGATTTTGCCTCCTCAAGGTAGCCGACGACCTCATTTTTCAGTTGGGGAGACTGCTGCTGAGATGGCGGCACATGAGATTGTTGACTCAATGTTACTCCCTCCATTTGGATTTCTAATTTCTGGAGTTGGATTTCCATCTTAACATTCTCGATGTCTTTCATTAAGGAATCAAAGGATGAAAGGAAAGAATCAGAAAGGTCATTGGCTAGTAGGTAGTCGAGGAGACACTCTATCCTGCACACCAGCTCCAAAACATGATTCCGTAAAGCTTGGAGGTACTCCTTTTGACGGCGCAACTCAACAATGTCTCTCAAGAAAGATCTCAAGAAGACAAGTTCATCTTTAATAGTTTGGGCATGTCCCCTTGAATTTGTTTCAGCTTCACCACTGGTGAGATCCGTCAGCTTTTCCACTAAAAAATCAACAAAAGACAGCGGAGCAGTGGTTGGAATGTTGTTGAACAGTGGTTCTGGCGCACCTTTCTCACCCCCAAGCTGCTCTCCCAGAGTTATAAGCCTGATTGCTTTCAACAAATCCTGAATCCCCTGTTGTAGCTGTACCTGCGGGCGTCTGGTACAGTGAGCAAATGAAGACTCCGGCATCATATATCACATAAAAAATGGCATCCTTCATCTTCAGATCAAAGTTGTTTGGCGGCTGGGCGAGAATGAATAGCAAGGACCCAAGTCCTTCATAAAGCTTCCCGAATTGATCCATCATCGATCTCAAGTCAGGAGTATCAAGGTATGGCATCACCGAAAGATAAGAGAGGAGAGAATCAAGGAATTCCTTGGCTGGATTGTCTCCAACAGCGGCAGGATCAGCAAGAAGTAAACTTCTTCTGCCTGACTTTGAGCTAAGCAGGAGCTCAGTGTAAGTATGATTGACCGAAGGATGGATAGGCACGATATCTTCAACCAGCATCCAGATCTTGGGAAGCATTTCTCTGCAAATAGTTTCATCGCCCATCTCAGAATAACACTTGAAAATGATGTATCCAGCACGAATACAAATCGCTTCGGTTTGAGCAGACATATATTTTTGGCTTTGGAATGAGCTGAATCTGAGGCAAAGGCGCTGAGATTTCTCAAGAATTTCATCTGCTCCCCCAAGGCTTTCATCGGTTCTCTCAGCATCTCACAGCTACTTACCCACTAAAAAGTGTGGAACAGCTGCAGATTCTTCAGTACAGAGTCAAAGAGATCATCAATCTCATCTGCTACAACAGAGTTTGCTGGAGAGTGCCTCAGGGTATCCAACAGAGTGTTGTAGAATTGATCGATTGGTTCTTCGGAAGATGAAATCTGTTCCATGGTTTGTTCCCATTCTTCAGCAGAAGCAGCGGCCGGAAGCTCATCAAGGTTCGTCTTACCCTCCTCCATCTGGTAAAGTTGGTAAAGTTGTTCGAGGTCTCTATATCATCAATTCAACCTCTTTCACTTCTCAAGCCATTCTCCAAAGCCAAGACTTTTCTGCTTCTTATGTACTGAGAGCTAAGCAATTTTCTGTGAATAAGGCTTGCATAGCCATTGATCACTTGGCACAATAGATTAGGTCATCCCTCTTCTATTGTATTTTGTCGTCTTTCAGATTCTATCATTTCTTCTGTAAATAGCACACCCAAGAGAATCATATTCAACGAGAGCACACACTCAAGAGATCACAAGAATCTTTCACGGCAGTAGGGCCAAGAGACAAACCAAGGATTAACACGGAAAGTAGGACAACATTGCCTAAACTCGATAGGCAGCTGACGCCTTTGACTAAGCTACATCGAGAAATCCTCCAGATCCACAACGACGAGTTACTTGCCCCAAAACCCTTGGCCCCTAATCCAAATAGGTCGACGGAACAGTATTGTGAATAACACAAAGACCACGACCATGATACTGAGGATTGTTGAGAACTCAAAAGGGAAATCGAGAATGGAGTTAAGTCTAGCAAATTCCAGCAATATGTGCAAGGACCCTCTCAACAAAGAAACAACAAGCCTGGTACATCCTGAAGTTTCGCTAAACGGAATTTCAGAGGTCCTCGAGGAGAAATTCATGGGAATAATAGGCAACCGAGGAACAATATACAACAACCTCCTCAACAAACTATCGAGGGAGCCCCACAACTGCTTTAGCATATCCCTCCGGTGGATCCTACCAAGCAGATCACTCACCACGTGGGTGCTATTTATGAAGCTCCTCTCAAAATTTTATCTACTACAGCCATGAAAAACACAATGCGGACTGGCACAAAAACTCCCCGTCAGGAACCTAGTCACAAGTGGTTTAACGGGACAGAGGCCATAGTCTTCCCTGACAGTGACGTAGTCCCGGATATCTATGCACATAGTGATGCCATGGTTATTGAGGCGATAATTAGAAATGTGCAAGTCAGTCGGGTTTATGTGGACAACGGCAGTTCAATCGACATCATTTACAGCGATTGCTTCAAAAAGATGAACATTCAAAACCCTAATATCCGCCCAACAACGATGCCATTGATGGGCTTCTCGGGCCACACTGTTATTCCAACCAGAATCACAAGTCTCCCCATCATGGTAGGGTCGCATCCCAGAATGGTTACATTAACCATGGATTTCGCCTTAATAGATGCATCCTCACCGTTCAATGTGATCCTGGGACAACCTTGGATGTGCCAAGCCCGAGCAATTTGGTCTCCTTATCACCTAGTGATGAAATTTCCTACGAAATACGGAGTTGGAGTACTGCAAGGATGCATACGCAGTTCTTGAGAATGCTTGCTCATATCTGTTAAGATTGGGAAGAAGACTGTAAAGTCTAACCCAAGCAATGCCATGTTGGGATGCTACTCGGTCCAACAAGCAGTAGTACTATCACGGTCGGAGGATCGCGACACTACTGCCTGCCACCACTTAGTAGCAAAACACAGGAGCTTTTTCTTAACGAGAAGGATCCCTCCAAGACCATCCATATAGGTATAACACCTCAAGGAGTGTTGCTAGCCGATGCAATCGTCTTGCTACGCGAGTTTTGTCATATATATTTTCCGGTCACCTACAGATATGACAGGAGTGCCACCAGAATTATTGAACACAAGTTGAATGTTAATCCCAATGTTAAACCCGTACAACAAAAGAAGAGAATATTTACTCGAGACCACAATGACATCATCAATGAAGAAACGTTGAAGCTGGTTCATGCTAATATCCTTCGCGAAGTTCTTTGGCCTACCTGGTTGGCTAACCCAGTCCTAGTACGAAAGCCTGATAACACTTGGAGCATGTGCCAAGATTACACGGTCTCAACGAACATTGCCCCAAGGACTGCTATCCCTTACCTGTCATAGATTAGATGGTTAAGGGTATCACTGTATAGGACCCTCAGTTTCCTTGATGCCTATAAAGGATACCACCAGATCCTTATGGCACGAGAAGATGCAGAAAAGATAGCCTAGATCACCACGATCGGAGTATATTTTTATGACAAGATGCCTTTTGAATTGAAGAATGATATGCTCATATTTTACCTATTTATTATATCCCTAATTTGTGATTTTTGCAATATATTTTGAGTACAAATATGCTATTTATATGATTTTATCTTTATTAGTAGGAATTGTACTCAAAAGGAGAAATTGTTGAAATTGTGGGCTAAGATGAAGATAAAAGCAACTTAAAGGGGAGTATTGAAGATTTGATAAATTAACAAGGAAGAAATTAAAATACTTGAAAAATTAGAGGATTAAACAAGCAATTGTAAAATTTTGTTTTTGGAAATTGGCTGAATAACGATGATGGTGCGGTTGATTTGGGATTGGAATTGGGTAAGAATTTTAATCCCAATATTATTTGGGAAACAAGTTTTCTTCCTCTCCAAGAATTAGGGTTTTGACGGAACCTATAAAAGAAGGATTAGGATTTATTTTTACAACCGGACTTAACCGAACTTGACCGAACTTCACCGAAACCCCAACCCCCTTCCTCCACCGGCGGCAGCCACCTTCATCACCAAACCCCAGCCCCCCTTCCATCACCGCCGCACCATCACCTCTCCTCCTTCCTCCATTCCCACGCACCACCGAATTTGGCCGATCTCCACCTTCCTGCTACTTCATCACCGAAGCCATCATCATCATTACATCACCTCTCCTCCACACCACCTCACGCAGATCAACACCTTCACCCAAAACTCATCACCCCGTTAATAGCACCTCCACACATCAAAACACACCATTAGCCCTACGCACCATCATCATTCTCACGAATCACCAAATTCACGCCTCCATAACCATTAGCTTGCGAACCATCATCATCCAAAGGAGAAACCGGCGGCATTGACGGGAAACTTGATTATCTTTTCGGGTTCTTTTGTTTTAATTTTATCTTTATTTTGAAGTGATGTGTAGCTAAATTAGTTAATCTAGGGTTTTGGATGTAGCCGCCGTACTATTTAATTTAATTTAATGCATGATTGTGACTTTTTCATTAGTTGATATTTAATATTCTTGTTTTTATTCCATGTGAGTATTTGATCACCATTTGCATGCTTTAAAGGTGTTTAACTGAAGGAACGACAGTTGAAGGTTAGCACTAGTTCATGAGAATATTAAATTTAGATAGTGGGCCACGAAAGTAGGAACACTGTCTTTGCAGCTATAGATTCTAGGGTTCTTAATGTACTCTAATTAAATCCTATAGTCACGGCAGTAGTCATAGGGTTAGTTTGAGTAAGAGAATTATATCACGACAGAGAATAGTTCTTAAATAGGTGAATTGTTGTGAGATTAATGAAAGTCCAAAGTCACATATCTATAGGTTGAGTTAAATTGAATAGTCGGTTGGTGAACCCTTTGCCTTAAGTTTTTCTTTTACTTATTTATATATTTAAATAATTGCAATTGATAGTTTTAGGTTTAGATTAGTTTAAAATTGATAAATTGTTAATCTAAATAAGATAAGAAATAATTTTAACCGGTACTTAGTAACCTTCTTTGTGGGATCGACCCTGCTTTCTACTTTACTACTAGTAATTGTATTAAGTAGGTAATTAATATTTGACTAGTGTGACGACGGCTTGTCAAATTTGGCGTCGTTGCCGGGGAAAGCATAACCAATATCAAAACTAGATTATTTCTTTTATTAATTTTGATTTGTATATATTTTTCTTTGTTTTATTAATTTTTATTTTATTTTATTTTATTTTTATTTTTAATTTTATTCTCTTTTCTTTCTTGTCTCAACATTTTTGTAGGATTTTGGAGTTATGATAGAGAATTATAACTACTGATATGGAGATGTTCTGTATTATAATTATAATTCTGAATATGGAGACTATCCTACATATCAAGAAGATTCGTACTTTTGGAACAATTCATTTTCTGATCCTTACTATGGTTGTGATTATCAAGGGTATTTATTTGATGCTGGATACAAAGAGTGAGTATATGACTCCTAGGATGTTGTCATGTTTGGAGAGAATTGATAAATTGCTTGATCACATGGAGAAGAAAAATGCTTCATATTTCTCTCAAGAGGATTGTTACCACTCAAATGCATCAGTATATCAACCACCACCTCCTCAACCCACTCTAAGAGAGCCACAAGCTCCTCAACCCACTCTAACAGAGTTAGCAGCTCGTCAACCTACTCTGAGAGAGCTAACAGCCTTACAGTCATCACCTTGTCAAACTACTTTGAGACAGTTAGGATCTTCGTATCAGCAGCCACCAGCTCAACCTCAACTTACTGTTAGAGAAGCAGCTCTTCGAGATTTTCAAAGTGAAAAAGGCCAACAACTTATTAAAGAGGTCAATCACTATAGGTTGAGTGTGGGGTTGCCGGAATATGATCCTATAGGAAATTTGCTTAAATTGAATAAGAATGAGAAGATTTTTAAAGATGATTTATTAGTCCAGTCTCCCCAGCCACCATCTCAAACTGAGCTTGAATGTGAAGAATTAGAAGAGACCAAAGAGATTAAAAGTCTAAATATTTCAAGTTCTCCTGATTCTTCTGGTATATACATAGTAGTTAAGAATGATTCGCTCATTCTGAGAGTTGG